CTGGCAGAAGGGAGGGGGGGGACACGACCACAAAGGGGGCACGGGATGGACATTCTCAAGTCCCCCAGGGGGCTTTGGGGCATACGTTAAAACTGCCCCCTGGGGCCAGGAATGCTCCACGGGGAATAGAAAATCAACTCCGAAGGGTGCAATACCCTGAACCAACGTTACGCTCCCCTCTTCTGGATCCAGTGTGATCGGAGCAGGGCTCTTGTGTTCCCCTAGGGAGATAGAATTCTAGCTTTCCTGCAGGTAGCAAAGACTTATGGGTCAGGAGTTTCCCGTACATGTGCCTTGCATCTCACCCTAGCTGTGTTTGCAAAAGGAGCAGGGCTAACCCTACATTCTAACTGAAGTGCTTACCCAAGAGCCTCTAGTCACTTCATTTGGGTACAGTAGCCTTCACTTCCTGTCCTAAACTGTTGCATTACATGGCTGCATTTTGCCAAACCGTCAGCATGCTATGCCGTGAAGCCTGCTTCTGTGGGATTAGAGAGGTTCATCCTGTATTATCATTTTCTCTAAACACTTTGGGCTAGATCCTCACCCCGTGTAAATTAGCAGGGATGGAGCTACACTGATTTACACCCGCGGAGTATCTGGCTCTGCTCTGGAGTTTTAAAAATCACAGCAGCCGTGTCTTAATTAAAGTAAACAAAAGAGAAAGCAAAGAAGGCAGCTGCTAATGGAGTGTGTATTCCCGGTGTGATTAGACATCAAGCGTGACGTCTCTGCCGGCTGGATGTTCGATTTGTTCTGATGCTTGGAAGATTTGCACTCCAGGTTGCAATTGAAAAAAAGCAAAACCAAAGCCATTGGAAAGCTAAGATTGCTCCTCTACTGTATCCCTTAACGCAATACTGTTGCGCCTTTACCTTCCCATTGGGCAGACGATCAAGAATGGCTCTTGGATTGTCTATTTGCGGTGTGAATTTTGTGTGTGTGTGTTGTTTGTTTTTTAAGCATTTAGTGTGTGGGTTCACAGTATGTGACAATTCCTCTCCCCGTGTGCAGTGCACATCAAAACTCCATGTGGATTTCGTGTGTTCTCCCTTTTCAGGTGCCTTTCTGGAACGGATGCAATGAGGACGAACACTGTGTCCCTGACCTGGTCCTGGATGCTAAAAACGATATTCCAACCACCACGTGAGTAGATAATCCAGACTGAATCCTCCAGGAAGTCACGTCGTAAAAGGCAGAGGATTTCTGAAATCGGATCATAGGTTTAACTCACCTCGTTACAGAGGATTTTGTCCTGAATTGTTTTCTGCATCGTAATGCGAAATAAGATAAGCAATCTGAGCTACACACATTGCGTATCTTATATTGTTGCAATTTCAAAAGAGCTTATTTCATCATTTGGCACTGTCTACACAGAGCCCAATTTCGAAATAAAGCGCTAATCTGAAACGTCCCTTATCCTGGTAGAATGAGGTTTACCGGGACGTCGGAATAGCGAGCCCAAAATAACGGGCTTGCTGTGAAGCCGCAGGATAGCTACTTCAGGATATCCCAAAATAGCGTTGCAGTGTCGACATACCTTCTCTGTTTTGGCTTTTGCACTGAAATTAACCATCTGTGGTTCACGTCCCATACACATGCACCCATGTTAACAAATAAGGAAATCCATCGCCATCAAGAGATGCATGCAGGAGATGAATCACGCAGCCCTAATTATTTTTTGTTTGGTTTGGGGAAGGGGTGGTTTTTATGGAGTTTTTGTTGTGGTTTCCAACAGGCTTATCAAATTATAATGAGTCTTTGTTTGATGTGGCTGGGCTGGTTTGCCCTCGGCAACAGATTTCAGAGGCATTTTCATCACGTTTTTCCATTTTTAGTCCCAAAATGAGGCTCTTGTTTGGATTCCCCGCCTATAAGTCTAACCACATTGCCACGGGCTTGCCTGTGCCCAAAGGCAGAGTAGCAAGCTGCCTGAAGAGGCTGGCGTCTGACTGACAGCATTAGCGGAAGGAGTTAAACCTGCCTGGTTCTCAAAGTTATTCACCAAGCAGCCCCCCACGATTGCTGAGTCTGACCCTAACTTTGCCCCATTCTGTGTTCCATGGGAACAAAGCCACTGTCCCGACAGAGCCCAGGACAGCTCGTCCGGCGTCATGTCTCTGACTGGTCAGTGGAAGGTGTCAAGACCCCGCAGGGGAATAATCACATCTTAGGTCTCATGCTGATCTCTGATCCGGGGCAACTGGCTTCAGCCCGGCAGTCGAATGTCTCTGCCAAAATGCTTGTTATGGTCGTGCTGTCTGGGGGGACACGGGAGCGAGGGACCTGATTCCGGAACCCCCGCTGGCTGTGAATTCTTTGTTGTTTTCACCAACTCCGCCACAAATGGAAACCCCAGAGCCACCATAAGCCAGATCAAGGGATCACGGCCAGTCCCTCCGACTCTCTGGTCCCCAGGCCACAAGGGGCTGTGCTAGATGGAAGCTTTACTCCGACTCTCACATAGGTGCCCGGTCACCCCCAGCCCTGAGCGGTGAGTTAGGGGCCCGGCTCCACCCAAACTTGCCCCCGGCTGCCTCCTGCGCTCGCTGTCCCAGGACGCTGCTGTAACGTGCTGCGCTGTCGGTGGGACTCCCCCAGGGCATTTTAACTCACCCAGCAGCAGCAGGCGGGGCCAGGGAAAGTACGGCGTGGGGGGGGGCGCAGGCAGCAGTGTCCAGAGACCCGTCCGGGAGCCACTGCCAGAATGGGGTGCCCCCAGGTAAGTGTGGCACCTCCACTCATCCCCCCAACATCCATCCCTTTATGCACCCCACTCCCTCCAGCACCTGCACCCTCTCCCTCCACCTGCCATCCTGCCCCCAAATGCCTCCCTATCTCCTAAGTCCCCAAATTCCCTCCCCGAGTCTGCACCCCGGACTCCGAGCTCCTGCCCCGGGCCAGAGCCTGCACCCACACCTACACCCAAACTCCCTCCCACAGCATGCCCTCCAATCGCCTGCTCCACCCCCGAGCCGGCACCCAACACCCGAACTCCCTCCCAGCGCCCGCGTTCCTCCCCCACCTAAAGTCCCTCCTAGAGCCTTAGGGGTAGGGGGGAGGGAGTGTAGTCCATGGTCATTTTGGGCACCATCAACATTTCTGCAAACCTGTCCCCCTCCCCCCCTGAGGCCCCGGTCCCAAGAGTCACCCAAGTGTAGTTGCATCTTACATCTCAAGGCAAAGGCAAGGCTGGCAGCCAGCTCTGTAATAAACAGGCCTAGGTGTATTAGCTAGGGAAAAGAGATGAGTGGCAATGGGAGTACCTAATGACTGGAAGGTAGCCAACATGACACCAATATTTAAAAAGGGCTCTAGAGGCGATCCTGGCAATTACAGACCGGTAAGTCTAACTTCAGTACCAGGCAAATTAGTCGAAACAATAGTAAAGAATAAAATTGTGAAGCATGTAGAAGAACATAATTTGTTGGACAAAAGTCAACATGGTGTCTGTAAAGGGAAATCCTGTCTTACTAATCTATTAGAGTTCTTTGAAGGGGTTAACAAACATGCGGACAAGGGGGATCCAGTAGATATAGTATACTTGGATTTTCAGAAAGCCTTTGACAAGGTCCCTCACCAAAGGCTCTTGTGTAAATTACATGGCCATGGGATAAGAGGGAAGGTCCTTTCTTGGATTGAGAACTGGCTAAAAGACAGGAAACAAAGGGTAGGAATAAATGGTAAATTTTCAGATTGGAGAGGGGTAACTAGTGGTGTCCCCCAAGGGTCAGTCCTGGGACCAATCCTGTTCAACTTATTCATAAATGATCTGGAGAAAGGGGTAAGCAGTGAGGTAGTAAAGTTTGCGGATGATACCAAACTGTTTAGGATAGTCAAGACAGAAGCAGACTGTGAGGGACTCCAAGAAGATCTCACCAATCTGAGTGATTGAGCAACAAAATGGCAAATGAAATGTAATGTGGATAAGTGTAAAGTAATGCACATCGGGAAAAATAACCCTGACTATACATACAGTATGATGGGGGCTAATTTGGCTACGACAAATCAGGAAAGATCTTGGAGTTATCGTGAATAGTTCCCTGAAAACTTCTGTTCACTGATTGTATGTGCATGCTGCCATGGCAACGCTTATGTTTAGCATTGGAATGTAACGAGTCTTACTGTGGTAATACAAGTATTCACTGTACGATCGATGGTGGCACTAATTGCATTAACGTGCTAAATGTCAGTGCTCTTATGATAACTACTGATCACTTGTATGTGGACAAATTTTCACCCATTTCTGGAACTGATTCTGCAGAAGATGAAGACTGTGCGCAAGCTTGACTCCTCTCTTGTCAAATTGAAAAGCTCCCAGCTATGTGTTCTCTCCCCTTCAGACAGCTGGGTTTCTTCAAGCACTGTATTGCACCTCCTGTTTCCCTTTCCTTATCTTTGATTGCAATCCCTTGTCAAACAGTTTTTGAAAAATCTAAGTGTAACTACATCCACTGAATTTGCCTTTATCTTGGTGGTAATACCTTCAAAGAACTCCAGCAGGTCAGTAAAGCATTTTCTTCAATCGCTGAATGCATATTAGATATCACTCCAGCTGTGCATACATCCTGCACACTTCACAGAGAAGTGTGTACATTTTATTTTGACAACTTAATGCTATCATTTCTCTTGGAAAAATTATAAGTGCTGGTAAGAATCAGCATTTTTTCTTTTTTCTGTGCCATTATAGAGTGAGTAGCATGTTGGATTCTCAGCGGGCAGGCTGGAGATGGCATTCATTGTGTATGTGCTGCACTTAATCACCTTTCCAAACAAAATGCAGCATTTAGTTTTACACTTAGGTTTTAGGAAGGTGGCCAAGGGGACTTGCTAAACCTTTGTAGTTTCCAGAGTGTAATGGTAACTTGTGTACTGAAGGAAATAGCACATTTTAACTACTGAACAGCTAATCTTTATACACTCAAGTATTTTCTTATGTGATACTGAGATTTTTTTTAGCATTTGAAATCAAATATGAATCATTTTTAAAACAATTGTTACTTGTCTACCCTTGAATTTGGGGGCATACTCCACCAGGTGACAAGTTTATGTAAGAAGGTTTATTTAACTCAGGCTGTCAAGAACGTTGCATAGTATTTTTTGTCCAACTACATTTTGTGAAAATGACTGCACTATACCTCATGAAAATGCCTCTTGACTACAGTGATTATTTTCCGATATTCCTGCATTTCATGGGTGAGGTATTATGTTTAGCTCCAGCAATAAGAATCCAGGATAAGTCCATTGATTTTTAATAGATTTGCTCCAGTTCGGTGCCAGTGGTACTAAAGACAGAAATGTGGCCCTAGATTCTTAATATAGAAAATTAATCTAGATGTATAGCTATCTCCAATTTATCCCATGTGAAAAGAGAGGAAGGATTTGTCTATTAAGACTGCTGTCATGTTACACCTGTAATTGAAGAGTATGCCGGTGAACTATTTTTATGGCATCATATACTCTTTTGTACAATACTGCCATCACAGTTTCTGAGTAACTGCACCTGTAGGGATGGTGTAGACGGAGCTTGGTCCTGCCTTGAGGGCGGGGGGCTGGACTCGATGACCTCTCGAGGTCCCTTCCAGTCCTATTATTCTATGATTCTATGACTAGGACTTTTCAGTTTAGAAAAGAGGAGACTGAGGGGGGATATGATAGAGGTATATAAAAGCTTGGGTGGTGTGGAGAGGGCGAATAGAGAAAAGTTATTTATTAGTTCCCATAATAAAAGAACTAGAAGACACCAAATGAAGTTAATGGGTAGCAGGTTTAAAACTAATAAAAGAAAGTTCTTCTTCACACAGCGCATAGTCAACCTGCGGAACTCCTTGCCAGAGGAGGCTGTGAAGGCTAGGACTGTAACAGAGTTTAAAGAGAAGCTAGATAATTTCATGGTGGTTAGGTCCATTTCTATCCTCTGGCTAATAGCCGTTTATGGACCTAACCGCCATGAAATTATCTGTTTGTCAGAGGCTGGAGAGGGATGGCAGGAGACAAATCGCTAGATCATTGCCTTCGGTCCACCCTCTCTGGGGCACCTGGTGTTGGCCGCTGTCGGTAGACAGGCTACTGGGCTAGATGGACCTTTAGTCTGACCCAGTACGGCCGTTCTTATGAGTTCTTTTGGAAGAAGAGGAAAGAGGAAAAAGCACAGGTGCCCAATAAGCCGTCCATTCCGTGTGGACACTATCTTTCCAAAAAGCAGATTGCTTTTTTTATGCCTTTTTGCAGTGTAGACGCTTTCTTTCGGAAGAAGTTTCTTTGGAAGATCTCTTCCGGAAAAGCTGCTTCCGAAAGAAGCCTGCAGTCTAAACACAGCCTTAGTGAAACAGATTTTCCTAATATCCAACCTAGAACTTTCCATGGCCACTTTAGCCCATTGCTCCTTATTCTGCCATATGTCCCCACTGAAACCAGCTTCTCTCCATCCTCTTTGGAACCCCCCTTCAGGGAGTTGCAGGCTGCTCTCAAATCTCCCCTCACTCTTCTCTTCTGCAGACAAAACAAACCCAAATCCCTCAGCCTCACCTCATAAGTCACGTGCTCCAGTCCCCTAATCATTTTGGTCGCCCTCCACTGGACCCTCTCCAATTCATCCACATCCTTTCTGTAATGGGGGGCCCAGAATTGGATGCAATACTCCAGGGCTATGTCTAGACTGCGTCCTTTTCCGTCCTCTAAGCACAACGCCAAGATGGCCGCTGCTTTAATGCTCTGATTTTCCTGCAGGGAGTATTGCAGGAGAGTCTTGAGGAAGTCGCCGTCGGATTGCGCCGCCTACACACTGTCTTTTGATACGCCCATTTTTATCATCGAGAGCACACGGAGAAGGGTGGCGGTGGAAGCAATCCTGGAGAACAAAGGCGAAAATGCCTACAGCGCTGTCCTGAACATTTCCTTCTCCAGGAATCTGCAGTTTGCTAGCTTGATTCAGAAGGTAAGAGCCCCGAGGGGTCGCTCCATACGTTTGCACTTGTGCCGGGAGCAATTCATTGCCAGTAAGGCAAAAAAATGACCATCAGTCACTGACTGGCCCTGCCCCGGTGAAGGTTTTGCCGCTGACTTTAGCGGAAACGAAATTGGGCCAATAAAGAGGCGTTGTTGATACTAAGGAGGCGGGATTGGCAAAGTCGTGTGATTTAGTCCACGCAGTTTACTCCGCACTATCACTGTTCTGTTGCATTTTTCCCTTGCCCCTTCCATGGTCGTACAAAGAGTCCTTTGGCCTTGTGATAGACCAGGCCGGATCTGGGCACTGCTGAGGGTGTCCGTTCATGGCGAATTGCTCAAATCCAGGCCTGAGCAATGTACGGCCTGCAAGCCACACGCGGCCCACAGGGGCTCACTGTGCGGCCCATGATGACTACGGGCGGCACGGCCCCATCCAATCTGCCGGCCCGGCAGAGGAGCAGAGCACCACCGAGGAGGGGGGAAGTGCGGCGATTCTCACGGCCGGGCTGCCTGCGTGCAGCTCCTGTGTGAGGAGGCGGGGCGCGAGCCAGAGGGAGGGACGCCGGCAGACACCAGGACGCTGGCGTGACGTGGCGTTGTGACATCATGGCCAGCAACCGCCGGATTCAGAAAGTCTCCGGCAACCCCGCAACCTAGAAGGCAGAAGCCAGGTAGGGGAGGGGAAGGGGCTTGTGCTGAGGGGAGGGGGGCAGGTCAGGAAAGGGGAAGGCACCAAGGAACAGGGTGCAAGAGAAACAAATGCCAGGGGGCCAAGTGGAGACAATGAGGGGAGGTGTCAGTGGGAGGGGGCACAGGGTGATGCTGGGAGAGGAGAGGCTAAGGGCATTGGGCGCCATATGTGGTGCAGGCCTGATTTAACTGAAAAATTCTTAATAAAGTATCACCCACCCCCACCCCCCCAACATACCCTTGTGGCTAGGGTTGCCAGATGTCCAGTTTTCTAACGGACAGTCTGGTATTTGCGCTCTCTGCCCGGGAAAAAACTTCAGAAAATATTGGATATGTGCAATGCCTGAATTTCCGGCTGGGCACTGAACGGAAGCCTGGTGGTGCCCCCTGTGGTTGTGTGCTGAAGCCAGGCGGTGAGGGGGTTTTTTTTTGTATGCCCAACCAAAATTTTTAGCCCGCGCGTTTGGTATTTTTTGGGAGAGCATCTGGGAACCCTACTTGCGGCCCGCAGCTGTCTTCTTAGGACTAATATGCCCCTCGCCGCTTTCTAACGTCAAAGTAAGAATAAGACCCTCCGGAAAAGGGCGCTTTTTCCGGAGGATCGGGGCCAGTCTAGACGCTCTTTTCCGGCTTTTTTAAAAGCCGGAAAAAAGCGGCGGCCATTTTTATTTAAATGCCGCGGGGGATATTTAAATCCCCCGCGGATTTCCCTACGACGACTCTTGAAATTTACATGCCCCTTACGGAAGAGGGGCCAGTGTAGACGTAGCCTAAAGGTTTATTACTAAAAGAAAGGAAAGCAGGAGAGTGAGTTTGTGAAGGAGAATAAATAACATGCATCGAATCACCAAGTTCTCGATACAGGCTCTCAGCGCAGTTGTTACAAACTTCTGTCTTAAAAGTCTCTGGTGTACATCCTATGTCAGGATGGGTCCACGATTCTTCCCAGCTCTCTGTCCCTCGCAAGGCTGCCTCTGGGATCAGGAGCAGAATTGGAGGCAAGATGGAGATTGCCACATGGCATTTAGATACTTCTCCTGGCATTTTCCTGGCCAGAGCAGGTCGCATGGCCCAGTGACCTGTCCCTGTGTCCCTTGTCAGCGGTCATCAGATACTGGCTGGTTGGGATGTCCTAGACACACTCCTCTGGTGTGTATTTGGCACCTAAAGAGCCATTGTCCCTGAAGCCTTGCTACTTAGCATAGTCACCCGCTGACCTTGGGAATGGTACTCGGAGCTGTACAAATGCACAATAAAAGCCAATTGTTGCCCCAGGGAGCTAAGAGGCCAAATAGCCAAGAGTGGGGAAGAGTGTTAATACGGATTGAACCTCTGTAGTCTGGCACCCTCCAGATCTGACTGGCACCAAACCAGAGAATTTGCCAAACCACAGGAAGTCAATATTGTCTAGTAGCATCACCAACACGTGCACTGCTACTGGGCTCTTAGAAGATATTGAGGGGTAAATTAGAGCTAAAAAGCAGCTCAGAACTCTGAGAGCCAGGACGGGTGGCTGCAAACAAACTTTATGGGACCGTGGGAAACTTGGCCACACCTATGATAAGTGGACATCTGGCTAACTACAATCCTGCCGGACCACGGAGGTTGCCGGATCAGAGAGTGCCAGACTAGAGAGGCTCAAACGATAGTGCCACTTCAGAGATAGGGAATGAAAATGGAGGCACAGTGAAATGCTGCCGATCACGCAGAGTTTGTGGTAGACATGACAACCTTCCTCCTGCTCCCGCTGCATCACAGTGAGAAGCTGTATTATTTGGAGTGCTGCTAGGGGTCATCTTTGGAAGGTGCATTGGTGTCTTTAACTATAGTAAGTTTACATTATTGTAAAATCATTATTGTAAAATCTAAAATCATGATGGTGTGGAGAGGGTGAATAAAGAAAAGTTATTTATTAGTTCCTATAATAGAAGAACTAGAGGACACCAAATGAAGTTAATGGGTTGCAGGTTTAAAACTAATAAAAGAAAGTTCTTCACACAGCGCATAGTCAACCTGTGGAACTCCTTGCCAGAGGAGGCTGTTAAGGCTAGGACTCTAAGGGTGAGTCTAAACTACATGGCTCCATCAATGGAGCCATGTAGATTAGGCTGATCAACAGAGGGAAATGAAGCCGCAGTTTAAATAATCGCAGCTTCATTTATATTTAAATGGCTGCCGCACTCTGCCGACCAGCTGATGATCAGCTGCTTGTTGGCAGATCTGGGCAGTCTGGACGCGCCACTGTCGACAAGCCTTTGTTGACCGGCGCAGGTATGTCTCATGAAACGAGGTTTACCTGCGCCGGTCAACAAAGGCTTGTCGACAGTGGCGCGTCCAGACTGCCCAGATCTGCGTCAGTATCAAAAGACTTTGTCAACCTCCCCGGTAAACCTCATCCCACGAGGCGTAACGGGGCGGTCGACAAAGGCTTTTGATGTCAACCACGGAGCATCCAGACTACCGCGCTGAGCCGACAAACAGTTGATTGACACACCGCGGCAGCCATTTAGATGTAAATGAAGCAGCGATTATTTAAATTGCCGCTTCATTTTCCTATGTCTTTCAGCCTAATCTATATGGCTCCATCCACGGGGGGGGGGAGGCCTCCTTGCAGGGCCATGGCAGGTGAAGGAAGCTCCATGCATCTCCCCCACCTCCACACCCTGACTGGCCTGGGGGCAGGGGAGTGCGCGAAGCCTCCTCCGCTCTGCCCCCACCCTGTGAGCAGCGCAGGCGCCTAACTGGCCTGGGGGCGGGGGCGCGGCAGGACCTCCACGGGCCGGATCCACCTGGCAGAGGCTCCTTTTCTTCCATCGCTGCCGCTCACGCCCCAGAGGAGGGCTGGCCAGCGGCTTTCAGAGCAGCCTGCGATGGTTTTAGCAGAACCGCCGGGGAAGCACGTCGGGCCGTCGGCGACCGTCGTTTTGGAGCGTCGGCTGTGCCGTCCTGAGAGATGGGCGGTGGCTCGCGCTGCCGTTTGTGGTAACGGGACCCTCTTGTGTTCCCTGGCAGGACGAGTCCGATGTCAATATTGAGTGCGTGAACGAAGAAAAGCGGCCCAACAAGAAGGTGTGCAATGTCAGCTACCCCTTCTTCCGCGCCAAAGCGAAGGTAAAGGCCGTTTCCGTTATTTCACCCGTCAAGCCCGAATGAAACACCCAGGCATGGACCAGGGCTGGGGTCAGGATCGGGCCCAACAAGGCTGGGCCAAATTTGCTGTCCTTTCTGTGTCAGAAAGCGGGGACGATCGGTCAGCAAGGAGGTTTCAGCAGCATAAAAGCGGCATTGAATCCTAGCGGATCGTCGGGCAGCCGAATTGAAGCCAGTCACGAATCTGACGTTAATCTTTCGGCATGGCTTAACGTGGGCTCACTGCTAGTAACTTATCACCAGCGTCCCTGCCTTACAAAATGAATCCCCTGTTCCTGCATAGGTAGAACAAGCTAAATTCTTCTTTCCTTCTTTCCAACCGGACCCTCTGCCCCTCACTCACCATGCTGGAGATCCTGGGCCCTTCACGCGAATGTGCGCACAAACAAAAGGGAGAGTGCGACAGAGGGAAAGAAACCTCCCTCGTAGTAGAGCGGGGAAGTGTGTGTCATGCCTAAAGGCATTTTCACTGGGAGTAATTCCAGAGAAACTCCTCGGTATCGTGCTTTTTATCCCTGTGAATTCATGTTCGTGATGTACCGGCTAATATCTAGGAAACCCTGCTCCGATACGGGAATGAATTGAGTTGAAAGCCGGTTAATTATAGGTGGGCTCACAGACACACCTCGCTTGTTCTTCAAATCACAGTCAGGCTGAAAGGGTCCACTGAGATCAGAGCGCCTTGCACATGCCGTGGGACAGCCCAAGACACACCGGGTGGGAGAAAGGCATAAAATACCTTGTGTGTGACAGATGAGGCCAGGAGTGGCAGACGGTCCCGAAAAGTGTGAGGCCATGCACAGCCCCCTGCCCTCTGGGTCCCGTCCCCCCCGCCGGCGCCGCCTTTCTTCCTGAGCCCACATCCTCGTGCCACCCATCCCCCCCAAAGCCCTGCCCCTGCAACACCCGTCTCCTGAGGCCCCGCCCCCTCACCACCCGGTCTCCTGAGGCCCCGCCCCCTCACCACCCGGTCTCCTGAGGCCCCGCCCCCTCACCACCCGGTCTCCTGAGGCCCCGCCCCCTCACCACCCGGTCTCCTGAGGCCCCGCCCCCTCACCACCCGGTCTCCTGAGGCCCCGCCCCCTCACCACCCGGTCTCCTGAGGCCCCGCCCCCTCACCACCCGGTCTCCTGAGGCCCCGCCCCCTCACCACCCGGTCTCCTGAGGCCCCGCCCCCTCACCACCCGGTCTCCTGAGGCCCCGCCCCCTCACCACCCGGTCTCCTGAGGCCCCGCCCCCTCACCACCCGGTCTCCTGAGGCCCCGCCCCCTCACCACCCGGTCTCCTGAGGCCCCGCCCCCTCACCACCCGGTCTCCTGAGGCCCCGCCCCCGCACCACCAGGTCTCCCAAAGGCTCTGCCCCCCACTTCCCATTCTCCTGAGGCCCCGTCCCCACACTGCCCTGTCTCCTGAGGCCCTACCCCCACACCGTCCATTTTCCTGAGGCCCTGCCCCTATACAGCCCCCTTCCCTCTGGAGACCCCTTTGCTCTACCCCTTTTCCTCTCACCCTCATGCTGCCCATTCCCAAGACCCTATCCCCATACAGACCCTTCCCCCAATGCCCCATTCTCACATCATTTCTTCCCCCCAATATCCTGCACCCTGCTTACTCCTGTCCATCTGCTCCTGCCCCCTGTCCCTCCCTGTCCCAGCGCCCCTGGATGGGGAACTGAGGCACAGCAAGATTAAGTCACTTGCCCAAGGACACCTAGCCAGTCTGCAGCAGACTCGGGAATTGAACCCAGATCTCCTCCCTGCGTTCCATTCTGGCAATGGAGCACCCCTGGATGTGGAGGTTTTCGCAAGCCAAATCGAAAGCCCGGTTTCAGTGTTGCATTTGAGCTGAAGGAAAATCGTGGGCATGATTTTGCCTCTGCCTTCAAATTTCACATCTCTGGTGTTTCTGGCAGCTTTTACTCACACGGATTTTTTTCTTCTTCTAAGCCAGAAAAAAAAAAGTGATTGGTAGTTTATTAAACTGCCAACTCCCAGCTCTATTCCAGAATAGAGTTAGCAGCTCTCTCCATCCCCTGGATCTTGTGAGAGAAGCCACTGGGGTGACAGGCAGACACATTGGAAAATAAAGAAGCAGGTTGTCATAGAAGCCTTTCCAGACTCAACACAATCTATTCGTCTGAAACCTTTGCCTGTCTGAAGCGCGAAAATAATGGAAGGGCGAATTTCAGCCGTGCAATCACGCACTCGTGTGTGCTGGTGGCCATAAAATAAGACAGAGCAGGCCAAGTCCACATGACCTACAGGGGCTAAGAATGCATCGGCGTGGCATCGGGTAGTCCAGATCCTGCCAAAACAAAGACAAGCTGGAAAGGCAAATTTGGCCCTGGGAGCAGGAGCAGAATTGTAATATTCTAATCAGCTGTGCAGTCCCAGACAGTTTGAGGTCATTGCCACAGGGTTTTTTTTCAGACCTGCCTTTAATGACATTTTATTGTTGTTGGACCAGCTCTTTGGCGCGTATGATCGCCATCGGTGGAAACGGTGCCTCAGATGTGAGTTAATCGTGACACACAGCGAGCCTGGCCAGCCTTTGAAACAAAGGATTTTTGTGCTCTCCTCGAAATAATCACAATTTTAAAACACAAACCACCGAGTCAGGAGCTCCTTTCCCTGGAAAGATAGGACTCAGCTTGAAGCCTGCCAGCCTCTCTTGTTATGTGTCATCCACAATCGTTCCCCCACACACTGTGTGAGTGGCTGGAAAGTTGTGCCGTGTTGCAATAGGGGTAAGGTGAAAAGATGGTGGCCAAGGAAAAGCCCGTGTCTGCGACAGCTGGATAAGTTTGTGTTTTTAATGCCTTTTTTCCCAATCTGTTTTTAATCTCTGCAGGTGGCTTTTCGCCTGGATTTCGAATTCAGCAAGTCTATTTTTCTTCAAAGCATGGAGATCTATCTGACTGCCAACAGGTTAATGACTGCATCGTTGTTCTTTTCCCTGTGCACATATGTACTGCCTTTATTGTCTTGTCTGCACAGATCCCATTGTGGAACGCCTGTTGCAGCCTCACTGTGGATAGTTTTCACCTCTCCCCTTCCCCCCCTGCTCCTCCATGCAACGGCAGCTGGGACCTTTAATTAGAGTGTGTTTGCAGGGTGCAGATACTCCACAGCTGTATTCATGGTTGGCAAGAGCCCGCATTTCGATCTTCAATGTCTATTAGCATCGTTCAGCAAAGCTGGCAACCTCTGCTCCGGAGGCACCCAGGGCCTAGCATATGGAAATTAAATTACCTTTGGCTGTTAGAAAATATGCAGTATTGTATTTGTCAGTCATGGCGCACTCTCCCTCTGTTTATCTGATGTGCGTCAGCTGCCAGCAACCTTCTAGGGCATGTGGAGGAATAGAAGGTGGCGCTTGCCAATGGTTTTCCGTTTTCCCAAACACAAACGCTCCCAGTAAAAATGCCTCCTGCTTGCAAAGTTCGGCTCACCCTGTTGCCCGGCACGAGTAAATATTTTTGACAAGCAAGTAAAACCTGAGTAGGGTTTTGTGGCTTGTTTGTCTCCCCCCCCACCCCCCATCCGTCATTGCACGGCAGCTGTGTGGTGTGAGGAGACTTTTGGCTACCCAAATGCACGGCCTTATGGCCTCGACTTGGGAAAAGTTACGGAGGGAAATCTTTTTGCCTGCTTGTTCGCCGGTAACATTTTTCTATGGCTTCTGCACACACTTGCGAGGCATCTTCCACAAGAGGGCAAATCCTGACTCATCCACAATTGGCCTCCAAGGGTATGTCCACACTGCATTGTAAACTTGGGCCTGAGGGAGCCTGGCTCCTGGCCTCAGTGTTTCCAAACCCATCAGCGTCTACACTGCTCTGGGTTTACGAGTGGTTGGATCTGGGTGTCTCAGCCACGTGGACACGTCCATTCTGCACTGCCCACATCTTGTGCCGGGGGCCTGCAGCTTGAGCTGTGTCCACAGAGCCATCCCAGCCCTAGGATGGTTCGGGGTGGCTGCCCAGGGCCCCGCGTTTTGGGGGGCCCTGCAGCAGCCACCTCACCCTTCCCACAGGCAGGATCTTGGGGGTGCTCCACTTCCTGCT